GCGGCGGCGGTGGCGGAGGAGGCAGCAGCGGCTAAAGAAGAGGGGAGGACGGAGGCGGCGTCGGACTGGAGCCGAGCGGCTGCACTAGCAGCCCGGGGCGCTGTCGTGAGCTCGCCGGCTGGGCCCCCACCCCAGAGCTACACCCTGCCGTGCCCAGCCCTGCCCGCGTCGGTGCCCCCGCGGGGAGCGCGCCGAGGCTGCCCCCCGAATGACGGGCGGAAGGTTCGACTTCGACGATGGCGGCACCTACTGCGGCGGCTGGGAGGAGGGCAAGGCGCACGGGCATGGCATCTGCACGGGGCCCAAGGGCCAGGGCGAGTACTCGGGTTCCTGGTCGCACGGCTTCGAGGTGGTCGGAGGTTACACCTGGCCCAGCGGCAACACCTACCAGGGCTACTGGGCGCAGGGCAAGCGGCACGGGCTGGGGGTGGAAACGAAGGGCAAGTGGATGTACCGGGGGGAGTGGTCACATGGTTTCAAGGGGCGCTACGGGGTCCGGCAGAGCCTGTGCACCCCCGCACGCTACGAGGGTACCTGGAGTAACGGGCTGCAGGACGGGTACGGCGTGGAGACCTACGGGGACGGAGGTGAGCGGCGTCGCAGGCGGCTCGGCTGCTCGGAGAGAGTGCGGTGGGCTTTGCACAGGCTGCGGGAAATCGGGGAGGACTCGCGGCACACGTGTCCGGAAACCCGCCAAAACACCTGGGAAGATTCCCACCCACCTGCCGCGCCGGCCCTCCCCCAAAAGGGTGCGCTAGGAGGCGACTGGTGTGCCAGGGTTTGATCTGACCCTGTTCTTGGAGCAGGCGGTGTGTCCACACCCGCGGGAGCTAGGCGTGAATGTACCTGGCGGGCGCCAGCGCCTCACTGCCACCAGGAGGGAGCGCCGCCTGGGAGGGTTGGGCTGGAGAGAGGACGATGTCACTTGAGCCCATCACATTAAGTTCCTGATCCTTCCTCCAGGCCGGGTTTGAAATTGCCACTTCTGTAGTTAGACTAACGCCCTGCGCTGGTGAGGCTGGCAGTGGGTGCTTGACCGCTCCGGGATTGGTTTCACATAGAATCGTATTTCGCTTCTGGTCCTCTAGTCACCTAAAGATAGAAGCCAGAACCCCATAACTAGGATGCTGGGGAATTGTACCTTATTTGGGATTCATTTGAAAACATCGTGGTTATAGAAGAGGAGAGACCACCTCATGGAGGTGGGATCCAGAGGTTATGGGATTTACCTTAATAGTTTTCATTTGGTTCCGTAAATCATTGCTTTTCTATCAAAAGAATGGTAGTCTTTCTCGACCCGGAGGTCTGGTCAAATCATTAGGAAAACGTTTGAGAAGTAAATTGTACTTTTAAAAAATACAATTGAATTGATAGTATATTTTATAGTTAAGTTAGCAGCTACTTTTGTTTCTGAGAATGACAGAACTGATTACTGATTTGCACCAAGATGTATGAGCTAATGAGTTTGCTAGCTACGAGCAAAATCCCCTTTATTTTAATACTTAACAGTATTTGCAAGAGAAAATATATGTGCAGAGTTCCTTTATTTGTTTTAATTTAGAAAAAAGTATATATAATGGAAACAGGTGTCAAAACTTGATGAATTTCCTTGTGAACAGCTAAAAAAGATGAATGGCTTATGCATTGGCAAAATACATTTTCTGATAATCACATTTAATTGAAAAGTGTTTAGGAGGCTATATCACCCTTTGGAATTAGAGATTAAAAGGGTCCAATTAAAAGTTTCTCTAGCCCACTACAAATCCCAGTTATGTCTTTGCTTATATAAAAGCTTATACAATTTGTACACTTCACTTACCCAGAACACTTGAACCGTGTTTCAAATGCAAAACAGCAGAATAGTAGGATTTGCTAAAAGGACATCCTTTCATCCTACAGTATAAACAAAGGATATGGTTCTCATGGATTAAAAGAGGGGAAAAAACTTTCTCTAGTACTTTCATATGGACTGCATGAATCACGAGTTCCACAGTAGTTAATTAGGGCCCTAAATGTTCTGAATAGTCTTAGAGTGCCTTGGTTGACAGCCCTATTAACACGTTAGCTTGTGACTGAATTTTATTATAGGCCCCAGCTTTACAGTATAAGTTCCATATTCAAAAGTGGGGTGCAAAATTAATTTTTTAAATGTGTGCCTTATTTTATAACTTTGGAATGTTCAATATAAGTCTTCTTGAAAGTTACTAGTCACGAAACAATCCATTGGTTTAGAGTATGCATTATACCTAGAATCAAAAAATATATCTAGTACAGTCAAGGTTGTCTATGTATGTGGTATAGAGACTCAGCATTTGTCCAGGATGACTTTAATGAATAATCTGCTTTCCTTTTTAAAACTGCCTTAAAAAAAAAAAAAAAACTTAAAATTTGGCTTCACCATAGGACCTTCATTTTCTTTTTTTAAAGATTTGTTTATGCAAACAGAACTGGGGTACAGGCCAGAGAGGCAGAGGCAGTGAAAGGATTCACCAGAGATGGAGCAGAACAGGCAGGTTGACAAAGTACATTGCTGAGAGGAATAGCCGGCGGGCCAGGAGAGGTCTGCCTCACCATGTTGGTCACCTCCCAGCCTGGGATTCGAACTCATGCTGAAGCAGCTATGGCTAGTTTCACAGTGCTTTGCTTTAATCCATTGCACCCAGGAGTGTCATTTTCTTAAAAAAAAAAAAAATCGAGTATGCTACCAATGGTGGGGGACCTCTTAAAAATAATTGTTGAATGAAACTACTTTGTACTAGCCGATTTTCTGCTTTCTTTCACATGTCTTTCCATTAGCTAGAGCAGCCTTACCTGTAAAGTGGGAATCTTAAGTGAAAGTGTATTGTTATAATTTATATCATACCAGAGTTCTGGACAAAGTAAAAGAATACATCTTTCCTATTCTTTAGGAGTTGTTGTTTAGGAGCCTGACCCTGTATACAGATTTAAGGAAAATCTGTTTCAATGTATTTTGCAGTGACATTAATCGGTTTCAATGTATTTTGCTGGAAGGAAGTAGTAATTCCACATGAGAAGCATCACTTCATTTATTTTATTAGTTACTTGTGTGTAAAGTGTTGCTGACACAGAAATCCATGGAATATTAAGAATAAATTACTACCACACTAGTGAAACCCAAGTCTGGGTACCCAGAATTCTTTGTGCAAATTGCAATCTGCTGCACTTTATTTTACTCACCTGTCATAAAACTATTGAAAATATGTTGGAAGTCACATTGTTTTGTTAGCTATTTGCATACTTGCATCTAAACATTCATAGCATGCAACTAACTTAAGTTTCCCATCATACAGTTTGAATTTGACTGGAGCTCATTCTGAACCACAGAGTTTCCATTAAAATGACTATATCTTGAAAATCAGCTTCCAGGTGAAAACTCGGGCATAATTTAAAAGAAAACCCATAGAAATAATTGATGCAATTGAAATATGTATCTGTATTTAAAGAATCAAGAGGTGCAAATTAGAATTTTATTTGAGTAACAGTGGAAAATACTTGCTTCAGGAAAGGACTGTTTGCTGGGTTCATTGATTAAATAAATTACTTTAGATTTGAAGTGAACTAGCAGTTTAACTGTAAATTGGTTTCTAGGAATTCTTCCATATACAGGAATTTAACAGAATAACAGGAATGTGACCCTGTTCCCTTGTTGAGTTAAGCAAAAACCCAACTTTTTAATTACTGCTGTTGCTTTAAACTGCTTAGATTTTCAAGCAGTTTATTATTAGAGATTACAGTGTAAGGAAACAAGTTGTTCATTTTCTTTCAGTATTAACTGAAAGAAATTTACTATGCGTGCATTATAGAAGTATCAGTATGTATTGATATCAAACAGCCCCTTGGAAATTGTTCTAGCAAATTCTCATTAAGTAGAAAAGTTTAAAGGAGGGCCTTCCTGGTGGCAAAAGGAGTTAAATCTCAGCACTATCAAGTATCAACAGCCACTGCAGCAGGAGTTCAATCCCTGGCCAGGAAGTTAACCTACATGGCACAGCAGATCTCTCCTGACTCATCCACTACTCCCCTCAGCATTGTACTTCGTCAGTCTGCCTATTCTGCTCCCCACTCTCACTGGTGAACCTCTTGCTGTTCCTGCACCTCTCGCCTGTACCCCAGCTCTTGTATACATAAATAAATAAAATAAACATTTAAAAAAGAAAAGGAAGTGATAATAGCATTCTTCATTTATATGACCAAACAAAATATTAAAACTAAGCTGGTTTATATATATATCAATTAGACTATATAATCTTTATCATAGAATTTAAATTTGATTTATATAAAGGAAAAATCAAAATTGAAATTTCCTAATAATTGCCTTCCATGTTAAGGTAGCCATAGTGTTTGGAGGTGGCTAATATTCAGTAGGAAGCTTCTTAACCTGATAATTAGTTTATCCTTTGGGAGTTCTCCTTTTGGGGACAGATTAAAGATTAAAGCTTTCACATCTACACAGAATGTGACATGCACATACCAGACCCTTTGGTATTTGTTACCCTGCTAGTGTATGCTTACGTGGTATTAATATATCAGAATAAACAGAAAGAGAAGGCAGTCTTCAAATTAGTCTAAACTTAATTCTGGAGCCCTCAAAGTTTTCATATGCAAGTGCCACCCATGTTACTAACACTGATATAAAGCCACTACTGCTCAGTATTTAATAATTGTGGGCCACACAATGGCTGTCTGTGTGTGGCAATAGGAAATGAAAACTATAAGGTGTATCTCCATAATTTGAAAGTGAAAGAAGTCTAGATATAGTTGTGATTTTTATAAAATGGTGAATAACTATGAGTAAGTAATACAGAGTAGTTGCAGCTTACTACATGTCTACATTGCTTCCTGGGGAATGCAATAATTTACAACTGCCCTCTAATTAAAGGAAATGGCCTTGATTTTGAAAAGAAAATTCTAAGTCCTCCAACCTTAACATTCAGTTTCTCCTAACATTTTTAAAAGCTACATAGTTTATTTTCTAAGTGTCATTACTAATTTTATAGAAAATTTCACTGAAAACGCTTTATATTGGAGATTATCCTATTCCTGAAAGTGCATAATATTTATTTAAAAAATAATTTGGTGTCAACAGAATTTGAAGGGACACTGTAAAACGCTGCTGAGTTGAATTCTGTACAATTAAAAGTGGAAGCTTTCTCCTGCCCTTATTTTGGCTTTTGTTGCAGTTTTCTACAGCCCCAGGGGGTGTGTTCTTTTTAGCCACCATAGATATTTCCTCTAAGTCATCAAACGTCTACAGACCACTGGACTCAACCCATGAGTCGGGAAAACTGTCCTCGCAGGAGGTAATTCCTGTCCTTTGGATGCTTCTAGTCTGTGATGTGACTGACAATGTGGTGGCAGAGGCTAGGGAAATCTTTGAATTTTGTTTAGTCATATGGGATGAAGATTGACATTTTAACTTAGAAATAAAAATTGCTAAAGCAAATTGACCTTTTTAGCACTCATTTCAGTTTTCAGGTTTTCAAATTGGTCTTAGCCCATTTAAATAATAAACCTAAATGTTAGTTTTCCCTACCCCAAAAAGTTGAAAATGGTAGAAAGAAAAGACTTATTTGTTTTAAGACCCATGTCCCAAGTATTCATTCAGATCACAAATAATTTTAACTTTCTGAGCTTGTTGGAATGTTGTACTGACACAACTAAAAGTCAATTTATGTTTTTCATCAAAGTCTATAAAATCAGAATTTAAAAATTCACAATAGAATTCTCTTCATTTACCTTCCTAAGAGGGGTTTTTGACGTGTTGCTTTCAGGAGAGTAAGATTTGTTTTCTAATCACATCAATGTGACCATATAAAATTTAAAGGAAATTTATCCGATTATTGGAAAATTCAGTACAGTTACATTACAGGAGTTCTTACATGGAGGGAAAGTGTCCCTTAAAAGTTGAGTTGGAGGGCCCTCCCTGGTAGTGGAGCTGGTTAAAGCACAGCGGGTTAAAACACAGCACTAAGAAGCTAAAACCACTTCAGCATGATTTTGATACCCACATGGGAGTTGACCCACCTGGCACGGGCAGACCTCTCCTGACCCACCCGCTGCTCCCCTTAGTGTACTTCCTCGGTCATCCCGTTCTGCTCCCCACTGGTGAATCCTCTCACTGCCCCAGAGCCTCTGACCTGTACCCCGTTCTGTATGCATAAATAAATCTTTTTGCTTTTAAAGATTTGTTTATTTATGCATACAGAAATGCGGTACAGGCAGAGAGGTGCAGGGGCGGTGAGAAGATTCACCGGAGACAGAGCGGGGAGCAGAACAGGCAGATCAACGAAGTACACTGCTGAAGGGAGCAGCAGGTGGGTCAAGAGAGGTCTGCCAGTGCCAGGAGGGTCACTTCCGGGACGGGAATTGTACTCATTCTGAAGTGGCTTTAGCTTCTTAGTGCTGTGCTTTAACCTGCTGCGCCACCAGGGAGGGCCCAAATAAATAAATCTTTAGGGGAAAGAAAAAGTTGACTTGGAGATGTGTGGCTTTTAGCCTGCCTGCTCTGTATGCCAGGTTCTCCCAGTGCCAACCTGGTACTTGCAGGCGATCATTGATCATACCTCTTTTACCACTTAGGCCCCCACTAACGCTTTTTCTTGTGGTCTCTCCAAGGTACCTACCAGGGCCAATGGGCTGGCGGCATGCGACATGGCTACGGCGTGCGCCAGAGCGTGCCCTACGGCATGGCCACTGTGATCCGGTCCCCGCTGCGCACCTCACTGGCCTCGCTGCGCAGTGAGCAGAGCAACGGCAGTGTGCTCCACGATGCAGCTGCTGCAGCAGAAAGCCCAGCGGGTACCCGCGGTGGCTTTGTGCTCAATTTCCACGCAGACGCCGAGCTCCCAGGCAAAAAGAAGGGTGGCCTCTTTCGAAGGGGCTCCCTCCTAGGAAGCATGAAACTTCGCAAGTCTGAATCCAAGTCTTCCATCTCAAGCAAGCGCAGCTCTGTCCGCAGCGATGCGGCCATGAGCAGAATTAGTTCCAGTGATGCCAACTCCACAATCAGCTTCGGCGACATAGATTGTGATTTTTGCCCCGTGGAAGACCATGTTGATGCCACCACCACGGAAACCTATATGGGCGAATGGAAGAACGACAAGCGAAACGGTTTTGGCATTAGCGAGCGCTCCAATGGCATGAAGTATGAAGGCGAGTGGGCAAATAACAAGAGGCATGGATATGGCTGCACTGTGTTTCCTGACGGCTCTAAAGAAGAGGGAAAGTACAAAAATAATATCCTGGTCCGTGGAATAAGGAAGCAACTTATACCCATACGAAATACAAAAACTAGGGAGAAAGTGGACAGAGCAATTGAAGGAGCACAGAGGGCTGCTGCCATGGCGAGAACCAAAGTGGAAATAGCAAATTCAAGGTATGTGAATGCTGGGTGTATGGCTTTGCAGGGTGGTTCAAAACAGATGGTTTAAACCAAATACTAGTGTTCCTCAGTCTGTTGGTGACCTCACCATAGGTCCTACAACTGCCCAATAAAACTGGAAAATGATTAATCCAATAGAATGACAGATGCACTGTTCTGATATCCATCATCAAAAACTGTTCAAGGCGCACTGAAGTCCCCTTCCTATTATAAAATACCTCCTGAATACTTAAAGGAGGCCAGTCAGATCCTGGTGTACATTTTCCTGGGTCCAGAAAGTTACTTTTTTTTTATGTAGTTGAAATGGAGAATACACTGTACTTTGTACTACATAAAGAAAATATCCATCCACATGGAAACAGCCTTTATTCTAATAGTTAAGTTGCAGGTGTGTATAAATTCTCTTAGAAAATTACCCTAATTTATAAAATTCAGATTCTGTTTATTGATGACTTGTAGGTGAAATTGACTTTTGAGAAAGCTACAACCATCTAGATGTGGCTGAAGTGGGAAGTTATATAACAAAATCTACCATGTGTTCACAGCACTCATCTACATGGGAAAGGGAGAGAGAGAGGAAGAATAGTCACTTTCTATGCAGGAAAGATTAGATCACTGGTGTATTAAAGGAAGGGGGTGCAGGGATCTGACATGCACAGATGGGACTGTCATTGTGCCAAGGTGGAAGAAAGTAGAGCAGTAGAAAAGGGCTAGAGTGAGTAGGAGAAAGCAGGTGCATAATAGGCTGAGAAGTGACATGTATGTGGGCACAAGACTGTGCTTGAAGTTTTGCCATTAATAGCTGGTAGATTCAGGAATCCAGAGAGAGGTATGGAGAAATCTGTTGGGAATAGAATTTTGTTAGGGATAAATGTGTGTTAGGAAAGAAAGTAAAAAGGACAGTTACTTTACATGGAAAGTTTTATTTTTAGGCTTAATTTAAGAGGTTCTGATTGGCCAGTTTTGTGCGAGTTGAGACTGTTAATGTAGAGTATTAAAATCTTTTTCCTTCTTCAGTAATATTCTTTTGTAGAAATGAACTTCCTTTTAAAGTCACAAATATGTGTGTGTTCGGGCTTTAATTTCTAGCATTTTTTGCTTGAACCAAAGCAAACTTCTAATATTTGAAATGGTCATGTACCCAAAAAAACCCAGCTATTTGGTATGGTTCATCTTAATACTTCTGGGATATGATTTATGTATGTTTGTAATGATCCTTCTTGATGAGACTGTTTACTTGTGAGTGTCTGAAACACTATTGGAAAATAGAAGTCTTGTTATATTTTAGGCTATATTAAAAGCCTTCCATCTTTATCCTAAACTAATCTTGTTTTAAAGTTAATATGCATTATTAACAGAAACCTTCATGAAATGCCTTTTTGACAAACATCTTTTTATTTTAGATCATACTAGACTCAGATCACAGATCAAGTTGTGCTTCTATATTTTTTAGTTTGCCCACCAACTTCTCTCACTCTCAGCTATCTTCTCAATCAAGTGCTGCTATCTTTTTTTCTTCTTAAGATTTATTTATTTATGCATACAGAATTGGGGTACAGGCAGAGCTGCGAAGGGTAAGAGGATTCAGCAGAAACTTAGTGGGGAGCAGAACTTGCAGATGTACTGAAATACGCTGCTGAGGGTAACAGCTGGCAGACCAGGCGAGGTTTGCCACACCATGTGGGTCACCTTCCTGGCTGTGTATTGAACTCATGTTGCTGTGGTTGTGATGTCTTCACAGTATTGTTCTTTAACCCATTGTGCCACCAGGGAGGACTTGATATTATCTTTTATTAACCTAACTTCTCCTGGGTTCTTTCATTTTATTTTCACCTCATAACACAGTGATATACTATAGGCAATTCAGAAAAGTGGAAAGTAAGCCTTTGCAGGAAGTTATAGTAAATATCTGTGCTTGCTTTAATAATTCACTTTATTATTAAATTGGAGCAATCTCTGTAATGATAGGGAACTCTTTGTGATGCAAATAGGATCTTTGATTAAACTAGAATCAAAACTCTTACCCAAGTCCTAATATTGTTCTGTTTTGTCTCTGTTGAAAGTCTTTTGGGTGTAATATGTAAAATGGAGTACTTGTAATATAGTTTATAATCAAGAAATCTTTGTTTAATAGTTATACTTTTAGCTAGGTAACTTCATAAGGGTTTTACTTAGCAGGTTAAAAAAAATGCCCAATTTGTTATGCAAACTGAAATAAATCAGTCACAGAACAGTAAAGCATAATTTCACATATGAAATATCTCCAAATGGTCAAACTAAAACAGTAAAATTGTGGTTGCCAGGGGTTGGAAGGAGGAGGAAGTTGGAAATTGCTGTTCAACAGGAGTAAAGTTGCTTTTAAGTATAAAATCTAAAAAGCTATATAGTCAGCATTATTATATTATGCACCTAAAAATTTGTGATGGGAATAGAAGTCACATTAAGTGTTCTTACCAAAGTAAAAAGAAAAATATTGTTTGGATGACACAGTAGATAAAAGTATAAATGTTCAATACTTTATTTTCTTACTTTCATCCTTCAGTTCCCTTTCCAGATATTTTGCTTTAATGAATACTTAAGATAAAGCATTCTTCAACTTGATTCTGTAAAAGGTAGCTGTCCTTTGTAATAGCTAATTTAAAGTTCTATATTCTCTTTTAAAAATGTTTACTTTGAGAAGATTCTACTAGGGCTTTGAAAATGGCTGCCTCTGGCGGGGGGGAACGTCTAGCTGTATTATTTTCATAAACCGTAGATCTTTATATAATACCTGACTATCTGTTCACTCATTTCTGTTCCTCTAGCTGGTGTTGTTATTAATGGTTTGTTTCTTTAAATATCAGAAGATGAAGAAAATAAAGTGACACTCTTCCCCTCCTCCTGCCCAGGTAGCAGCAGAGTAAGAATCACTGCCTCACGTTAGCAACAAAGGAAGATGATCAAGTTAATAGTTATTGACCATTTCAGTTTTCCTCCTAAATAGTGTTCATCATCTTCCTATCACTTTTATTTCTTATGATAGAGGTGTTTATTTCTTAAGTCCCAGGAAAATGAATCACCTTTGTACCATCAGCCTTTTATCTAGTAGCAAAGACTTGAGTTAGTTCTGAGGAGGAGTAATTGCATCATCCAGCTTTGTCTCCACAGGGAAATCAGGAGACACGAAACCAGCCATCTTTGCACCAAAGACCCACAAAAACTTGGTAGATTTGTGTGGAGTTTTCCTTTGCTTCTTTGAAGTAAGAGAAGTGATTTTCTCCTGAGTAAATGCACAGTAATTTTTTCCTGAATAAATTTTTGAAGATTTACTGTGGCCCCTGTTTAATTCATATAGATTAAGGATTATGGGGGTTATTAACATCAGATAAAATAACACAACAAATAGATACTGAGTTAAGAGCTATCGATATTTTATTAACTGGTTAGTACTTACAGCTGTAAGTGATACCAATAAATTTTCTTTAGGCTTTTGTTCAAATCCAAAAAGTACTATGTTTATAAGCATAAACAAAATATTTGAGTCGCTTCTTGATCCTGGGAATAAAAATCACCTGGAATTGAGAAAGTATCTTAACCTTGTTTTTTGAGAAATGTTCCAAAGATAGGAGAGCAACTCTGAATATTTCAAGCCTCTCAATTTCAGAGGCAAAGAGATGAGAGTCCTACCCAAGATCACCCCACTCATTCGCTTATTATTTAATTACATTTTTCTTCTGGGGACATTTTTTTTTTTTTACCCCATCGATTCTTTTCTCCAATAATTCCTTAGAAGCGATGTTCAAATTACTGTTCCTTGAAAAATACATATTAAGAAAAAAATTTAAGGTGAAGGCATTTGGTTGAGATAGCAAATATGAAGTGGCTCTTAGAGACCCACACTTCTATACAAATGACTAGGTAATTAGCAAGGGGTATAGACAGAAGAACTTTGTACAGTCTGAGCCTTCGAAGAAATAAGTATGCCAAAGTATGAAAGATACATGTTGAAGAGGATGGGAGCAAACTAGCCTCACACTATGTAAACCCACAGGTATTGGCTCTAGCTTTGTGGCATCAGACAGATTAAAGGAAAGAAAATGAGTGGAATAGGATGGAATGGTTAACAGTATTTATTGGCTGGAGCAGTCCTCTGCCCACCTGTGACCATGCAGGTGCTGCTTTCCACCTGCTCTCTTCCCTCCACAGGGTAGCTGCCTTCTGCCTGCCCATGCCCTGTACCATGCCCGGATTTCTCTTCACTGACCTCCCTCAATAGCGGCCACTTTCCTCAAGGCTGCCCACCTGTGACCATGCCGGCCACTTGCATTTATGGGAGTCTCCACTTGCATTTATGGGACTCTTTTCTGTTCCTTTTCTAATAAACCTTCTAAAATATAAAAACAACAACAGTAACCACTATCGGCTGACCTGCTGGCCAGCCCCCTGGAGGCTCGACTTCAGGTTCTTGGCTGTGCAGCTCCCAGCACCACTATGAAGTGTCTTGCTGGGACTGGCTGGCCAGTAGGGTGGGGATGTGCCTTGCCAGCCTCTCTCCAATTGTTAGTGATTCTTCAGATGGTAGCAGCAGCCCCTAGAGGGCTCCCTGGAGGGAACCTTCTGCTGCCCCCCAGCCCAGCTCTCTTTGCTTGTCTCACTATAGCTGTACAGGAGCATGGAAGCAACCAGATGGATGGTGGGGGGAGGGGCTTAAGCTCAGGTGATCTGGTGTCCAGGTGAGCTTGCTGCATGTTTTCAGAACAACAGGTTGGATTCCGTGTCTGCCAATTTTGAACTAAAATTTTTTAAATGACATATACTTTCCCAATAGGATTTTCGATATTTCTGTACTTTTCTTTACAATGTCTACATAACAGTCTCACAGCACTCCCCTTTTGCCTCCATAACCAACTGATTCAGTCATAGCCTCTTTACTTCAGTTCTGAGGAAAGTCTTTGCTTTCTCTGCCAGGAACACTTAGGGTTTCCCCTGCCAGCCCTGCAGACTCCTCCATCTTT